ACCCAGCCAGTGGCGCCCAGTGCAGCCGCGCGGCCCGGCGATGCGGGCCTTAATGAAGTCAGCATCAGCCGGCATCAGCGGCGTAGCGGAGCGTGGCGGGGCGGGGCGGGGCGGGGCGTGTTCAGTGGCAGCAGGGCGTGGCTTGCACCGCACCGGGACGTCAGGACGACACATCCACTTCCCTCATGACGGCGAGGACCATCGCCTACCTCCGGTGCGCGATGGCGCTGAGCTTCGACCCGGTTTCCCGAGGACCTCGCCGTGGACCCACAGTGCAGTGGCGGTGGTCAGTGTCGGAAGCCGAAGCCGTCCGGGCGGCTAAACCGATTCCCGTAAATCACGCCCCAGTTTCCACCGGCCGGCCAGAAATAAACAAGGCGAAGAAGGCGACGCGCCTAGACGACCAAAAATTAATTTCGACGAAATCGGCGCCGCCCAGCGCCCAGCTTGGCGCCCAGCGCCAGCGCCCCGCCCACCCGCGCTGCGGGTGCTGAGAGGTCTATAATCCCTCCGAGATATCTCACCTCAGCCACCGCCCTCCTCCCTCCCCCACCCCCTTTCCTGTCGCCTCACTTGCACCAACACGTGTCCGGCTGTCTGCTTCTCATTTCATTGCTAGTCAAGCGCGCTGCGGGTGAGGAGGGGGGGAAGGGGGGAGGAGGGGGGAGGAGGGGGAGGCACACGCGTGCCAAGGCGCCACGCATCGACCAAGCCACCCGCCGCCACTCGCCGATGCACTTGGCACGCAGAAATTAAAACGGTGGACAGGTGTGTGTGTGTGTGCGCGCTTGTCTGTGTGTGTACGTGTGTGTGCAGCGTAAATCATTTCACAGCGAGTGCAGGGCAGTGCTCGTTGAAGTATCCACAAGAACCCACACGTGGACGAACGCACACATACACATGCACGCACACACACACATGCTCACATACGACGCACACGCAGTTACCCGTGTCCCAGGAAACACATTAGTATTTGCCATTTAGCTGCTTGCGCCCAGCCAGCGCCGGTCGGTCGAGCACCAGCCAGTCAAGCAGTCAGCCAGCCGAGCAGCCAGCCGAGCAGCCAGCCAGCCGGCCGAGCGCGCGATGAGGCTTTAAAATATGACAAACTCAAGGGAACTAAAGTAGTGGCTGGCGGGTGGAAGCAAGCAAGGGGTCCCCAGCACCGTGTCTGTGTGTGTGCGCGCATGTCCATGTCCTTGAAGGAAATGGCAATATTACGCGCGTGTGTGTGTGCGTGTGTGTGTGTGTCCGTGACGTGTGTGTTACGTCGCAAGGCGGCGGTGGCGTTGAAGGCAATGGCGGAGAAACATTTCCCGAAGAGGAGCGCAAACGGCCTGGCAGTGCGTCAGGGCGTTCAAAGGACGGCGTCGACGACAAGACAACGACGGCGCGGGGTCACTCGGGCTGCTCCAAGGCCCCGGCGTCCCCGTCCTCCGCGGCGACGAGTGCGTGGGAACTGGGAGCGGACGCCCCGTCCATGGAGATGGCTATCTCGGCCGGGAGCGGCCATACGGCCCGGGCCGCCCGGCAGGCAGGCTCGTTCCGAGAGCCGTCTTCCGTCGCTCTGTCTCTCTCGCACCCACACGGGGCGCGCCATGAGTGCGAGAGAGACAGAGCGACGAGGTCCTCCGGAACCGCTCGGTAGGGGCCCGGGGCCCGCATGGCCGCGGAGGGCAGCGGAGGCAGGCCTTCCAGTGCGCGCACGCCGCACGTGCTTCACACCCTCGGTGGCGTCGGGCCGCGCGCGGCGCGGGGCAGCGCGCTGACGCTTGTCTCTCTCGCACGGTGGCATACTGTGCCGACGCGACACGGACACGTGCTGAGTGTCGGGCCCTGCTGCGCGGGGCAGCGCGCTGACGCTTGTCTCTCTCGCACGGTGGCATACTGTGCCGACGCGACACGGACACGTGCTGAGTGTCGGGCCCTGCTGCGCGGGGCAGCGCGCTGACGCTTGTCTCTCTCGCACGGTGGCATACTGTGCCGACGCGACACGGACACGTGCTGAGTGTCGGGCCCTGCTGCGCGGGGCAGCGCGCTGACGCTTGTCTCTCTCGCACGGTGGCATACTGTGCCGACGCGACACGGACACGTGCTGAGTGTCGGGCCCTGCTGCGCGGGGCAGCGCGCTGACGCTTGTCTCTCTCGCACGGTGGCATACTGTGCCGACGCGACACGGACACGTGCTGAGTGTCGGGCCCTGCTGCGCGGGGCAGCGCGCTGACGCTTGTCTCTCTCGCACGGTGGCATACTGTGCCGACGCGACACGGACACGTGCTGAGTGTCGGGCCCTGCTGCGCGGGGCAGCGCGCTGACGCTTGTCTCTCTCGCACGGTGGCATACTGTGCCGACGCGACACGGACACGTGCTGAGTGTCGGGCCCTGCTGCGCGGGGCAGCGCGCTGACGCTTGTCTCTCTCGCACGGTGGCATACTGTGCCGACGCGACACGGACACGTGCTGAGTGTCGGGCCCTGCTGCGCGGGGCAGCGCGCTGACGCTTGTCTCTCTCGCACGGTGGCATACTGTGCCGACGCGACACGGACACGTGCTGAGTGTCGGGCCCTGCTGCGCGGGGCAGCGCGCTGACGCTTGTCTCTCTCGCACGGTGGCATACTGTGCCGACGCGACACGGACACGTGCTGAGTGTCGGGCCCTGCTGCGCGGGGCAGCGCGCTGACGCTTGTCTCTCTCGCACGGTGGCATACTGTGCCGACGCGACACGGACACGTGCTGAGTGTCGGGCCCTGCTGCGCGGGGCAGCGCGCTGACGCTTGTCTCTCTCGCACGGTGGCATACTGTGCCGACGCGACACGGACACGTGCTGAGTGTCGGGCCCTGCTGCGCGGGGCAGCGCGCTGACGCTTGTCTCTCTCGCACGGTGGCATACTGTGCCGACGCGACACGGACACGTGCTGAGTGTCGCGCCCTGCGCGGGCACCGCTGTGGGCAGCCGGGCGGGCTGGGCGGCGGTGGCCGCGGACGCACCGAGGTGGCCGCGAGCCGCGAGGCGCGACCGGGCTCCAAGACTCCGCGGCGAATGGGACGTAATAACGCCGCCCCGAACGACAAATTTATGTCGAGCTACAGTGTTCGGCGTTTTGGTAACCGGTTTCGCACAAGTGTGTGGACACGGCCCGGACACGCGTACAAACACACTCGCTCACACGCACACACGGACGGCATATGTGGAAGATTGCAGGGCGAGAGTTGTGTGCGTACGCCGAATTCGTGCACAAATATTTGAAGCGGAGCGATTTTCGCACTACTCGGGAATGAGTCGTGAAGCGCGAGTGGGGAAACATTGTCGCTGGGATAAGGAAAAAGGTGTTCCGGCCGGCAGCCACGGCCTCGCTGGTGTGCGAGAGAGAGAGAGAGAGAGAGAGAGAGAGAGAGAGAGAGAGAGAGAGAGAGAGAGAGAGAGAGAGAGAGAGAGAGAGAGAGAGAGAGAGACGCTGCGCCGCGACAAACCAGACAAACCGACAACAGGCCACTTCCTGGAAACGAGAGCACCGCGGGCCCGCCGGAAAGGGATGCCGACCGAAGGGAGCTTCGTCAATTTCCCGCCAAAGCCCAAAACACGCTTCATCGCGGAAAGCGCCGGATCCTGTTCATTTACATTTATGTTTTACGATTTTTGAAGGCGAGCCAAGGCGAACGTGTCGAACGGAGTGTTACATCCATTTTGGCAGCGGCTAAAGGTGAGAGCGAAACCTTACGCCGCCCTAACCCGACCGCTCCGCTGCTGCCTGCTGGTCGGCTGCTCCGTTGCCGCCGTTTGCCTGTCCGTGTGGTCCCGGCTCATTTGTCGCCCCGTCTCTCTCGCACCCCACGCCCCCTGCGCAACGCCGCGAGAGTGCGGGAGAGACACAGCGATGCTGCCTGTGGCTGCCTGCTGGCGCCGCCCGTCATCCCGGCGTTATGGACCGCGTCCGCGGGTCCGAGACTCGCCGCTATCGTAAAGGAAGAATTGCACAGCCTCGTAAAGGCTCTGTCTCCCTCCCACTCGCGGGGCGGCCCGGAGGGTGCGAGAGAGACGGCGGGGCGGGCGGGGCTGCTCCCATAAAGCCGTAGGGCACTCTCGACGCGCTTGTAGGTTTTCCTGTTAGCGCGCCACTCATTGCCTCTCATGAGATAAGTGTCCTTGTCCCTCCGAATTTGACAGGCGATCAAAGGAAGCGCCGGACGGACTCGTTGGAGCGGTGTCGCTCTGTCTCTCTCGCACTCACGTGGCGGTCCGGGCGGTCCGTGGGGTGCGAGAGAGACAGAGCGACGTGCCCGTGACCCCGTGGCTGCGGCGCTGCGGCACTGCAGCACTGCGGCTGTGTCGCTTCGGCCGGCCGCTTTGACTGCTTTGGCGCCGTTTGGCGCGGACTGCCGGACTGGCAACATTTCTCATGCGCATGTGAATTACCGTCCACCTCTCTCCACCGCGCCGCCCCGCCGCGCCGCCGCCCCCCGACGCGCCGGCCGGACGAAGCGCCAGCGCGCCAGGCTAGTCCGGCGATGTCTGTCCATTCATTCATTCATTGCTTGCATCGCCGTGTTCTTCCTTGGCCGCGCGGCTCGTATTTCACTCCCAAGGTGTAGCTCCGCATGGACACCAAGACCGCCGGGACCGCCAGGGCAGGAACGACGCGCCGGCCAGCCTGAAGGGTAGCCCGGCCCAACCCGCCAAGGGGCGCCCTGCCCGCCAGGGCCGCCAAGCGATGACTCCCTGTCCCTCTCGCACCCCTACGGCCCTACGGGACGCCACGGGAGTGCGACAGAGACAGGGCGACGCAACGACGCCCCGGGATCGGCGTGCTGAGGCAGAGGGCGGCGCGGAGCAGGCCGACAACACCGAGTCGCCGCGGCGTGACAACATCCATCGTGCGTCGTTGCGGCGACCGCGCCAGCCGTGGCCGCGGCACGGCCAGGCAAGGCTCGAGGGCAGCAACAGGTGACCGGCCGGCGGGCCTCTCTTCGGCACGCCCGTGCTGTCACTGTCACGATACTCACGTCTGTCGTCTGTCGCGGGGTCTCCGTCAGGGCGAAGCACGCAGTATCCTCAGTATCCCAAGGGGGCAGCCGGGGCCGAGCGGCCGCACACACACTCGCACTCGTGTCATCACATCACTCGCGACACTCGCGGCACTCGCGTGCACACTCACGACACGCACGCACTCTGACTGGCGCACACACGCACGCACGCCGGCCGCCCTGTCCTGTCGGTGGTCGCGCGTAGACTGGTGGGCCTCGGGGCCTGTGTGCTTGGCCTGCTCCGCCGCGTACAGCGTCAGGCGGCACGCCCCACCGCGCGCCTCGCCGCGCCCCACCACCGGCCCCACCACCCGCCCCACCACCCGCCCCACCACGCCGCCACGCCGCGCCACGCCACGCCGGGCCGCGCCAGAACGCGGCGCGCGGCTCAGTGCCCGCCGCGGACCGATTTGCGGCGCTTATTTTTAGCCGGTGACGCGAGCCGGCGGTGCCGGCATTGGCTGTCCGTGACGTCAGGGTCGCCGTCGCGGCCGCGGATTGGCTGTGGGTTACCACACGGCCACCGCCGCACTGCCGCACGGCCACCGCGACATGCCCGCCCCGGGTACAGCACTGGTACAGAGGGACGGACCGTCGCAGCTTCCTGCAGACTCTAGCAGACGCCAAGCACGCCGAGAGCGTCCAGCGCGCCGAGCACGCCGTCAGCTGGGCGGCCGGGGACGAGGCAGGGGAGGCGCGGCGGCGCGGCGCGCGTCCTGCGCAGCCACGCGTCTCGCGTCTCGCCGCGTCGGCTGCTGTCTGTTCCCTGCCGCCTCGGCCGCCGCGACCACCCCGCCCCACCCTCCGCCCCTGGCCCGGAGAGGAGCGGGGAGAGGCCGCACAGGGGTGGGGGTGCGTGCGTGGGGGCCGTGCTCGGACCTGTCCGGACGGACCGCGTGGTAGAGACAGGACGAAAGCACTTCTCCACGTGCATGTGTGCGCATGTGTGGCTTAGGATCAGAATCCCGGGAACCAGCACTCGACCCTTGGATCTGGTCCTGATCAACTGATCAGGCGTTGGCCGGATGGCGGCGCGACTTTCAAGTGCCTCTAATCCGGCCCTAGAAACAGGCAAACACTTATCGCCTTGACGTCGGGACGTCCTGACGTCCGCCGTTGTTTCTGGCTCGCGGAAATCCAGGAAATCTGGGATATCAGGGATATCCAGGAAATCCGGAAAATCTGGGAAATCCGGGATGACGAGGTGGTGCTGCCAGGTTAGCCTTCATGCGTTTGACCGTGAGTGAGCGAGAAAAAGTTACTTAACGATTTCTCATTGCTTTACTGACGTTTCCGATTTTAAGCTATTTACACGCCGCACTTGATCGGATTTTAGAAGAAATTTCTAAGTGAGCATCTCTGCTTCAATTACTTTTACTCTCTTTTAAGGACAGTTAAAAGTCATGACAGTGCTGATATTTACGGGTTCGAGTGCGATCGATGTCCTTTGGCCGTTTGGGGGTTTTGGATGACCGTGCCGAGCCGTGCCGCCCGGACCCGCCGGGCCGTGCCGTGCGCGCGTGGCACCGCGCGGCGCAGTGCCGCTTGCGGTGCGTATCTACAAGGACGCGTTACCTCATCCCTGATAAAAACTCGAGCAGTTTGATAAAGAACCTGACAAACCCTGGACAAAGACAGTCTGCACACGACCCTGTCTGGCTCTCTAGGCGGAAAACGACATGTCATGATAGGTGACAATATCGCACCACCGAGGGGACGTGTGCATATCCCATCGACACTAAGATAGGGCTGGCGCCCAAAATTCTAATCTGCATTCCATCGCGGGCTTCTTCTTTTCCAATATTGCTGAACAAGGACATTCTGGATCCAAAATTTTCTTAGGATTCAATTTAAAAATTATTAACAAGCAAAATGCTCGTGCAACAAAAAATTTTCAAAAAAAAAAAAATAAATAAAAAAAAAAAACCAAGTTTTGAGTGTAAAAACCTGTTTCCCGCCTGCGACTTACTCCAGCGCGAAACATACGCGAACTTTCCGGATACACCTGAAACTGCGGCATTTTACTCACCTAGAAGTAAGCACTTAGGACCAAATTTGTTTGAAAATCTTGGCTTCAAATTTGCTTTATTGCGTCACCGGAAGAGTCAGTGTACTGTCGGGCCATTCTGGATGGTGACTAAATTTACGCATTACACAGCAGATTTTGTAGTGCGTGGGTTAATCTTGCCGGACCTCCCGTGTTTTTATCAAGTGTCTGTTCCGTTTTATCTTCACAACTGCAACGAAGCTACAGAGGTGTCATAAAGTAAAAAGGTAAACAGTAACATGTATGAATATCATAAACGTGGGATAGTCACATAAAATATTGAAATTTCTAACTGTTGATGTAAATGATTGGTTGCCCAACCTTAATTCTTTCTCGGTGGCCATCGCAAAAATGAATACACTAGCGGAGCGCTGATAACGCTTAGTCGCCGACAAAGTAGAAGTTGATGTTTCTCATATCGTTGTTTACACGGTGATTCGTTCACACTTTGTTGGCGTTTTATTTTCTTCTAATCGGCATCCACTTTCACCGGGACTGCGGGATACGACCAGAGATACGATGCTGTGGCACTGCCTCGAGCTCTACACGCTCCACTCGTATTCTGATAACGGCATCTCGCAAGACAATTCGGGAAAACGTATTGAGTCTACTCGGAATTCGGACAGTGAAAAAATTTAGTCGGATGAAATTATACGTTGATAACGTAAGAATTCTGGACCAACGAATAATGTGCGTGAATTTTCACCTGAATGAGCTAGACTCCCACTTGGTTGCCAGCAAGTTTCCTTCCCATGCTTCCGAATCGATTCGGCTGCTCCACGATTTCGTGAGTCCAAGCGGCCGCACTCAGTCCAGCACTCGAAGCATAAACACGGCGCTCTTTTAATTTATCTCCCATAATGACCTCTAAGCGAGTCGCCGCCGAGACGCGCCGCCGAGACGCGCCGCCAGCGTGCAGTCTGCAGACTGATTGCGAAGAAGCGCTTCGTCGCTCTGTCTCTTTTCCCTTGCCCAGCGCCCCATACGGCCCCATGCGTGCAAGAGAGACGGAGCGACGAAAGCACAGCCCGGAGTCGTCCCGGAGGACGCGGCCGCCAAGGCACACAACATTTTAACAACGTTTCATCCGCGCGTAGCTCGCCGAGCCTGACAGCTTGCCACGCCGTGCCGTGATGCAACAACGGACTGGTGGCGATCGGCGGGGACGTCGGCGGGGACTTCGACGGGGACGTCGGCGGCGGTGGGGGACGGTTCTATCATCGCGGACCCCCATTGGCCGGCGGGCCGGCGGGCTGCTGGCGTGCCCGGGCGGGCTGAGGGCGCGCGCCTGGCGTGCCGCCGCGTCGCCGCACAGGTGCAGCCGCGGAGACGCGGCTTGGCGTGGCGCGGTGGGGCGCGGCGGGGCGTCGCGGCGCCTCTCATTGGCCGGCGGGCTCGCGGCGCAGCCAATCCGACTCCAGCCTCGCGCGAGAGACGCGGCCGCCGCCGCGGGAAGGAGCGAGAAGGAGTCTGCTGGTGTCGCGGGCCGCGCCGCTGTTTGTTTGCCCTGTCTGTGGCCGGTTTACAGTGCGGAAGGACAAAAGGGCGGCGGGAACGTCGCCCTGCTTGTTGTTGTCCAGCACGGTCGGTGGGCGCGCTCCCGGCACGGTCGCGTTTATAGCAGGCAGTGTTCAGAGCTAGGCCACCGTGACTTCCGCTATCATGGTGTCCTGCGGCATGCAGGGCACTCTGCAGGGCAGTCTGCAGCGCAGGGCGGGGCCAGAGAGGACAGCCCGCGCCAGCCAAGCGCACAAAGAGGGGCGTCATCGACAGCGAGCGTTTGCAAACTCCAAACTCGCAAACCGACAACGACGACCACATGTGGCAGTCCGCGAGCCTGAAATTCTATTACGCGGACGGGGAGGAAATTTATCGAACATGTTGGGGCACAGCGGCGATTGGCGGGTTCGAGTTTGCTTTGAAAGTGCCCCGCTGGCCTCTCACACACACACATACACACACACATAGAGGACACCCCGCGGCTCCCTTCGCAAACACCGTCAAGGACTTACAGCAGGGGGTGTCCTCGCGCGGAGTGTGTGCGTGTAGCGTGTGCGTGTGTTCCTTCTAGAGAGAACGTGAGTGCGACACTCTATGACAAGTAGTGGAATGGAGTAGTATTCCAGTGGGTGGGGCTTTATGAGAAAACACACACTTGCGCGTGCGAAGGAAAGGATATTTTAACCTTTAAGTTGTTGCAAAGTGCCAGGGAGACCTTGACCTACGCACAAGCAAGCTCCGGCCGCGCCACGGCCGCGTTTCCACAACGAGATCTTTGGTTCCTGAAGAAGGCACGAAGAAGGAGGTCCACTAGAGTGAATTCGCGCTACGTACCTCGTAGCAGCATTTGTCCCTCTGCGCTTGCACGCAAGGTACAAAGCACTGAGTTTATATACCAACATTTTGATTTTTAAATTTGTTTTGTAAAACCATACAACAATTTTGTTTGTGTGGCCGACGGTCCACATGCCCTCTTGGAGTGCCCCAATGTTCGGCCTGCTTCCCGCACTCGGCGCTGTCGGCTCCCCGCCTGTGATTGGCCGCAAATCCGGGTCGCCAGTCCGTCACGCGCCTTCAGCCGACACATCCCGCGCACCGCCCCTGCCTCTCTCGCACTCAGGGGGCGAGAGAGGAAGATCGACGAAACCGCTGTGCGGAATCAGTCCGCAGTCGAGAGTCCTTCTTCTCACGAAGACCTCCATTACTATATGATTATCTTCGTCGTGACACGGTGTGAGGGGCGCGGCCGGAGGGAGAGAGGGTCCTGGCGGACGAGTAGCAGCGGCAAACGTCGGAAACGGCCGAAATAAGTTATTCAAATTTGATGCCGCGAGCTGACGTGCTGGGCCGGGCCGGGCCGGGCCGCCGGGGTCGGGGCACGGCCGAAATGCCGGCGACGGCAGCACGCTCGGCTCCAAGGCAGCAAGGCAGCACGGCACAGCCCAAGACATTGGCCCTAATGAATAGGGGGACAATGGCGGTGCCGGCGTGCCGCGGCGTGCCGGTGGTGCCCCCATCGGCTGGAGTACCAATTAGGCCCTTCCCCTCCCACGCACACACACACACACACACGTGCACCGACACGCCGCCTGTCCCCGCTGACACGAAGGACCCGCACGCCACACGCCACCACGTCGCCGAGATGATCAAACTCGATTTAACGTGCCG